CCCCCACCCCCCCCCGGTATCCCTCTTCCCCGACCGTCCCCCGGTATCCCTCTTCACCGACCGTCCCCCGGTATCCCTCTTCACCGACCGTCCCCCGGTATCCCTCTTCACCGACCGTCCCCCGGTATCCCTCTTCACCGACCGTCCCCCGGTATCCCTCTTCACCGACCGTCCCCCGGTATCCCTCTTCACCGACCGTCCCCCGGTATCCCTCTTCACCGACCGTCCCCCGGTATCCCTCTTCACCGACCGTCCCCCGGTATCCCTCTTCACCGACCGTCCCCCGGTATCCCTCTTCACCGACCGTCCCCCGGTATCCCTCTTCACCGACCGTCCCCCGGTATCCCTCTTCACCGACCGTCCCCCGGTATCCCTCTTCACCGACCGTCCCCCGGTATCCCTCTTCACCGACCGTCCCCCGGTATCCCTCTTCACCGACCGTCCCCCGGTATCCCTCTTCACCGACCGTCCCCCGGTATCCCTCTTCACCGACCGTCCCCCGGTATCCCTCTTCACCGACCGTCCCCCGGTATCCCTCTTCACCGACCGTCCCCCGGTATCCCTCTTCACCGACCGTCCCCCGGTATCCCTCTTCACCGACCGTCCCCCGGTATCCCTCTTCACCGACCGTCCCCCGGTATCCCTCTTCACCGACCGTCCCCCGGTATCCCTCTTCACCGACCGTCCCCCGGTATCCCTCTTCACCGACCGTCCCCCGGTATCCCTCTTCACCGACCGTCCCCCGGTATCCCTCTTCACCGACCGTCCCCCGGTATCCCTCTTCACCGACCGTCCCCCGGTATCCCTCTTCACCGACCGTCCCCCGGTATCCCTCTTCACCGACCGTCCCCCGGTATCCCTCTTCACCGACCGTCCCCCGGTATCCCTCTTCACCGACCGTCCCCCGGTATCCCTCTTCACCGACCGTCCCCCGGTATCCCTCTTCACCGACCGTCCCCCGGTATCCCTCTTCACCGACCGTCCCCCGGTATCCCTCTTCACCGACCGTCCCCCGGTATCCCTCTTCACCGACCGTCCCCCGGTATCCCTCTTCACCGACCGTCCCCCGGTATCCCTCTTCACCGACCGTCCCCCGGTATCCCTCTTCACCGACCGTCCCCCGGTATCCCTCTTCACCGACCGTCCCCCGGTATCCCTCTTCACCGACCGTCCCCCGGTATCCCTCTTCACCGACCGTCCCCCGGTATCCCTCTTCACCGACCGTCCCCCGGTATCCCTCTTCACCGACCGTCCCCCGGTATCCCTCTTCACCGACCGTCCCCCGGTATCCCTCTTCACCGACCGTCCCCCGGTATCCCTCTTCACCGACCGTCCCCCGGTATCCCTCTTCACCGACCGTCCCCCGGTATCCCTCTTCACCGACCGTCCCCCGGTATCCCTCTTCACCGACCGTCCCCCGGTATCCCTCTTCACCGACCGTCCCCCGGTATCCCTCTTCACCGACCGTCCCCCGGTATCCCTCTTCACCGACCGTCCCCCGGTATCCCTCTTCACCGACCGTCCCCCGGTATCCCTCTTCACCGACCGTCCCCCGGTATCCCTCTTCACCGACCGTCCCCCGGTATCCCTCTTCACCGACCGTCCCCCGGTATCCCTCTTCACCGACCGTCCCCCGGTATCCCTCTTCACCGACCGTCCCCCGGTATCCCTCTTCACCGACCGTCCCCCGGTATCCCTCTTCACCGACCGTCCCCCGGTATCCCTCTTCACCGACCGTCCCCCGGTATCCCTCTTCACCGACCGTCCCCCGGTATCCCTCTTCACCGACCGTCCCCCGGTATCCCTCTTCACCGACCGTCCCCCGGTATCCCTCTTCACCGACCGTCCCCCGGTATCCCTCTTCACCGACCGTCCCCCGGTATCCCTCTTCACCGACCGTCCCCCGGTATCCCTCTTCACCGACCGTCCCCCGGTATCCCTCTTCACCGACCGTCCCCCGGTATCCCTCTTCACCGACCGTCCCCCGGTATCCCTCTTCACCGACCGTCCCCCGGTATCCCTCTTCACCGACCGTCCCCCGGTATCCCTCTTCACCGACCGTCCCCCGGTATCCCTCTTCACCGACCGTCCCCCGGTATCCCTCTTCACCGACCGTCCCCCGGTATCCCTCTTCACCGACCGTCCCCCGGTATCCCTCTTCACCGACCGTCCCCCGGTATCCCTCTTCACCGACCGTCCCCCGGTATCCCTCTTCACCGACCGTCCCCCGGTATCCCTCTTCACCGACCGTCCCCCGGTATCCCTCTTCACCGACCGTCCCCCGGTATCCCTCTTCACCGACCGTCCCCCGGTATCCCTCTTCACCGACCGTCCCCCGGTATCCCTCTTCACCGACCGTCCCCCGGTATCCCTCTTCACCGACCGTCCCCCGGTATCCCTCTTCACCGACCGTCCCCCGGTATCCCTCTTCACCGACCGTCCCCCGGTATCCCTCTTCACCGACCGTCCCCCGGTATCCCTCTTCACCGACCGTCCCCCGGTATCCCTCTTCACCGACCGTCCCCCGGTATCCCTCTTCACCGACCGTCCCCCGGTATCCCTCTTCACCGACCGTCCCCCGGTATCCCTCTTCACCGACCGTCCCCCGGTATCCCTCTTCACCGACCGTCCCCCGGTATCCCTCTTCACCGACCGTCCCCCGGTATCCCTCTTCACCGACCGTCCCCCGGTATCCCTCTTCACCGACCGTCCCCCGGTATCCCTCTTCACCGACCGTCCCCCG